AATAATAATAATAATAATAATAATAATAATAATATATATATATATAAACAACAGAACAGAAGCTTCATTTTAAACACTCAATACTTTTGGCGCAGGCGTTCGTCGCGGTCGCTCGCTCGAGGCGCTGGCGCGGCTCAGGGCCGGCGCCGGCCTCACGGAGCTGCAGCGCTTCGCGGAGGCCGCGGCCGCGCTGCAGGCGGCCGGAGCCCGGGGTCGGTGGGTCGGTGGGGCGGTGGGGCGGTGGGTTTCCGAGGCCTCACAACGATTGTATAATATATATATATATACATATATATATATATATTGTTTGTATCATATGTATCTGTATGATACATAGATGTATATAGGTCACTAAGTTGAACAACTGCCAGTGACTGCGGCACAGTAACGCATCATGTACATAGATCGACGTGCAGGACTCACGATGGTCACACTTTCTTAATGACTGGGAAGTTCTGACACAAATCGAAATATCGTGAGCTCCCCCTCACAAGGTTGCCGAATGAGAGTCGGGGTTTTATATGTTCAATACCACTGCTTCGACTGTATCTTCATGAGTTTTGGCGCTTTGCTTGGAGCACAACATACATCCTTGCTCTCTCAGTTGCTGGCCCCCAAGGTTTTCCGAGTCACGTGTTGTGTGGTGTTGCTGCCACATGGTGTCGTGACCCTGCAATGTCATACCATCTGCGGAGTGATGGAGCAAGCAAGCAGCGACCAGAATCCCGGTTGACCAATTTATTAAGGGGTTGTTCTCCCGGTTGAGCAGGGCAACATAGTGAGACCTACAGGGAGTCTTCGTGATTCATAACCATGATACAATGTTAGTACAACCAAAAGCGTTTCTTTGGCGGTGCTCAATGCCCCGCTTGAAGAGCAGGAAAGTTGAAAGTTGAAACTTTTACTGCTTAGTACTTCGGGCCTGTGCATAGTGCGGAGGCCAAACATTTCAAAAGGTTCCTTTTCGCAAATCAGCAAGACTGCGAACCATTTTCCCTGCCTTGCATTTCTGCAAACTAAACAACTGTCGCCTTTCCATCGCTAGCCCGGGCCGGGTCGATTTGGGAGGCTTCTGCCTCAGCGGGGATCGCGCCAGAACTGCTGTCCAAGGACAGCCCAGTTCCTGGCGGCTTTCGGCTGTTTCTTCGGAAACGTGAGAGAGGCCCGCTCGATCTGCGCACCCTCTTGCTCTTGGGCCTCTATTGAGGCCCCTCTGCATGTTTGGTTGACAAAGGTCACCTGCTCATTGCGGGAGGTTTCCTCATTCTTGGGTTGTGAATGAGAGAGACTTGCCTGGATGTTTTCTATTCACGACACAGTACTCGGCTTCTCGACGAGAAGGCGCCTGACAGATAAGTAATTCGGCTTCACGGGAAGGTGGGACATGGGCTTCATGTTGAAGCACCACTTTCTGCGCAGCATGCAGATCCCCACATGGTCTCGGTTGAATACGTAGCCGACATAGATGAATGCTTTGAACGAACGCCACCCTTTTCAAGCTGTTTTTTGCCACTTTGCGTTCCTCTCGTGAATTTGCTGCGGCGTTTGTGCCCGACTCTTCGCCACCTCCGCTGTACCTCTCGTCCATTCGTTTACCTTGGAAGCACCTTGAAGGCGCAGCACGGGTGAAGACCCATCAGTGCTATCAATGAAGCAATTCTAGGGCATCGTCCCTCCAAGAAATGTGTCACATCAAGTGGCATTCGTTGGTTGGAGAGAAAGTCGAGATTGCTTTTTGCCCCCAATACGAATTTCAGAGGGTCCCTTGTGTTTGTCCCTGAGTGGTCCGCGCAAAGGGAAGGAGTCCACCCTCGCATGCACGTTCGCGAGGAGATCTTGCAGAAGGCCAATGTCCCGGTGGCAGAGGTGGAGCAGGCGCTCGCTTCGGGCGGTTTGGTGTATTGGGGAAACCCAATTGCCTTCTACAAGAACCAGGGTGAGCCCCCAAACCCCTACTTCGTTGAGGTAGGAGACTGGCGGCCCTTGGCATGGATTTGTTGTGAAGAACTTGTGCTTCTTTGTGGGTTTTTGTTGACCTCTGGAATCTCGGGGATCGATTCATTGCTGCCAAATCTTGTTTGAGTGGCAAAGGGGTAGGATACTTTGACTTCGTTCGTGCCAAATCTACTATGATTCCGTCTCTGGAAGCCCGGTTGAGGCCTTAAACTGTTTGATTTGCTTTCAGCGGCTCGGTGTTCAGGGAAGAGGGCGGTCTTTGGCGGATAGATTTTTCTTTGGCATTCAGACAAGGGCTTTATTTTGGTTGCAATGTACCTTCACCCATATTATAGCATATACACATGTGTATATATATATATATTATACACATTTGTATACATTTATATGAACATACATCTAGTTATAGCCTTCAAGGTTTTAGCTCAGCGCGAGGCCCGGAGCTTGTTGCTGGCGCTCACGAGCTGTGAGAAGGCGCAGATGCACAGTCGCCGGCGCCTGGCCGAGGCGCGGGTCACAGTTTTTTCGGCGGAAAACGCGCGGCGAAACCGGGCGTTGAAGTCATGTCTACGCTAAGACCTGCGTTTGAAGTCTTAGCCGGCGTTGAATTGAGGAAGTCTTACCCCTAAGATAGGCGTTGAATTGAGTTTGGAGTTTCTATGCTAAGACATTTCTCCTCTGAGGAAAAACAACTTCATGAATTCTTTACTAGGAACAGAAGTCACTGGCACTCAAAAGGGGATGCAGATGGGTGCATGTTTTTCCAGGTGCTATTTGTATGGGGTTGTTTTACAGGGAAATCAAAAGGACATCATATTTGTTTGCTTTTTGTTTTGACGGGGGAGTGTTCCCAAATTCTCTGTCAGGTTAGCTGAGCCGGTCGCTTGGATTGTTGATTTGGATCTGAACCGTGGAGTCTTGCTTGCAAATGAGAAGGTAGCTCTTGCAATTTTCCCGTTCGGGACTTTTCGTCGGGGGAGCATGTATGGATACTCGCTGGTTTTGGCTTTGGTACGGATAATTTGTTCAATCCAGTCGGTTGGCCTATAACTCGTTTGTTCAAGGGCATGCTGATGTTTAAGGGGCAGTCAATCTTCCCCCCAAAGGAATTAGCAGAAGGCAAATGTCAAGAGCAGCTGGCAAAAAGCGCGTTGGCCAAACAATTGGCTTCTTCTGCTCAATCCCCTGAACATCTATGCTTGCGCCCTTGATGCCTCCAAACACTTTGCCTTTCATTCTTCTTTTCCTGCCCCTAAGAAACACCTACACACACACACCCACCCACCCACACACACACCCACCCACCCACCCACCCACGCACGCACGCACGCACGCGCGCGCGCGCGCGCGCACGCACGCACGCACGCACGCGCGCGCACAGGCACGCACACCCACACGCACAAGCCTATGCCCAAGCGCACGCGCACGCACACGCACAGGCACACGCACACGCACACGCACACGAGCATGCCCGCGCGCACGCGCGCATACCACACACACACGCGCACACAGACGCGCACGCGCACGCGCACGCACACGCACACGCACACGCACACGCACATGCACACGCACCCCACACAATTCAGACACACACACACTCACACAGACACACACACACAGACACACACACACACAGACACACACACACACAGAGACACACACACACACAAAAACAAAAACAAAAACAAAAACAAAAACAAAAACACAAACACAAACACAAACACAAACACAAACACAAACACAAACACAAACACAAACACAAACACAAACACAAACACACACACACACACACACACACACACACACACACACACACCACACCCACACCACACCCACACACACCCACACCCACACCCACACCCACACCCACACCCACACCCACAACAGCGCGCACGCGCGCACACGCGCACGCGCACACGCGCACACGCGCACGCACACGCGCACACGCGCACACGCGCACACGCACCGCACACGCACGCACACGCACACACGCACACACGCACACACGCACACACGCACACACGCGCGCACGCGCGCACGCGCACGCGCACGCGCACGCGCACGCGCACGCGCACGCGCACGCGCACGCGCACGCGCAGGCGCACGCGCACGCGCAGGCGCAGGCGCAGGCGCACGCGCAGGCGCACGCACACGCACACGCACGCACACGCACACGCACATGCACACGCACACGCACACGCACGCCCACGCACACGCACACGCACACGCACACGCACACGCACACCCACACGCACACGCACACGCACACGCACACGCACACGCACACGCACACGCACACGCACACGCACAGGCACACGCACATGCACACGCACACGCACACGCACACGCACACGCACACGCACACGCACACGCACACGCACACGCACACGCACACGCACACCCACACGCACACCCACACCCACACCCGCGCCCGCACCCGCACCCGCACCCGCACGCGCACGCGCACGCGCACGCGCACGCGCACGCGCACGCGCACGTGCACGCGCACGCGCACGCGCACGCGCACGCACACGCACACGCACACGCACACGCACACGCCCACTGCACGCACACGCACACGCACACGCACACGCACACGCACACGCACACGCACACGCACACCCACACCCACACTCACGCGCACGCGCACGCGCACGCGCACGCGCACGCACACGCATACGCACACGCGCACGCACACGCACACGCACACACACACACACACACACACACACACACGGAGCCGCTCGGCATCTACACGCGGCCTTTTATTTTATTTCGCCCTAAATGCTAGCCAGAAACAAAGACCACAATTGGCCTTTTACTCCCAAGGATGGCCTTTTCATGATTTTCCCACACACTTGGCTTTTCCTTCCCCTAAGCCCTTCCCAATTTGGTTTCTTATGCTCGTTTCTCTTGGGAGGGTTGCGGGTGGCTCTCAGGGCGGCGCCGGCGCAGCGGAGCTGAAGGACTTGGTGGGGGCCTGGGAACGGCTCAGGCGTGGATCGGGGCCGCGTAGGAAACGCTAGGAAACGGTTCTATGAAGTTCTATGTGTCAGTTTTTTGGTTGGTTTTCTTTTGGTTTCGGGGTTCGTTCTGATTTTTGAATGCTTTGCGTGTGTGACGGGGCCATTCTGGGTGTACAAGCTGGGCGGCGTTGAGCCTGCGAACATGTTGACAGCATCGCCAAGTGGTCCCTCACTGGGCTGGACTGCACAGTGACAGGGATATTCGTCTTTTTTATATTTGGAGAATTTCGATCATCACCTTCAGGTTGCCTATTTTACGTGAGTTGGTTTTTGGCAGGGTGGTGCTTTAAAGCGGGCAAAAGGTGCTCCGAGACTTCAAGAAATGTTTTTGAAGAACACAAACCAAGGTAGAAACTTGGTCAACCCCGGGAAACAAAACAAGGGCAGGAACAATTGGTCGACGGTTTCCCAAGCCAGGGTTACCACGTTTCTACCAACTCTCTTCGATTCGGCCAAGTGGGAGCGAATGTGAGCCAAACTTTCGGGTTCTTGGGAACAGATGCTGTCCGGCTGCAACCTGCACGAGTGTGTTGACTCGTTGCGGAAACTTCGTTTTTTTTCTTTTTTGCCAAAACAAGGATGAGCCAAAGAAAGGGTCAACCGACCAAAGCAGTTCTCCTTCGACGTGTCCTTCGTTTTTGCGATTCAGTGGATCCATCAACCCAGGTTGGCACTTTGTGCCCAAATTTCAACCAACGAATGGGGAGGACCCCTAAGTTTTCAGTTAGTCGAGAGGGCCTGAATTGCCACTGCCCTTTGCACGAACTGCATATTTTGACCGTGGCTCACAAGAAGGAAGAGGTGTTGCTTATTTGCTCGGGCAGTATTTTGTTTTTTACTAGGGCTGGTTCGCCTAGTTGGTTGGTTGGTTGGTTGGTTGGTTGGTTGGTTGCCTGCAACCAGCCCTAGTAGTACAAAAGACACCTCTACCTCAAAAACTGTTTTTTTGTCCGGGGCGATCATCGACCCCTTCGATCCAGCCCGTCTCTCAAATCCATGTTAATTTCGTTGTGCTTTGCGGTGGGTCTCTCTCTTCAGTTCTTAAAAAGCAAAAAAACAAAAACAAAAACAGAATACGGGGTTTGGGAGGTCTCCGCGTTTTTGATAGGGTTGCTGTGCTTTGCCTTTTGTTCGTCTACTTTTCGGTTGGGTTTGGTAGACAACAAAGCGATCCATTGGGAAACCCACTCGAACTCATCGTACCTGTAAAATCAAGCAGGAAACCAAGACGTTCTGATGTTTCCAGGATCATGCAAAACCGCTGAAGCAAGAAGGGAGGATTTTATGTTTGGCTTTGTGTCATTTTTGAGATTGAAATCACAATGAAATCAACCATTGGAGGCGACCCAAATGTTTTGTCACACACAGACACCATACATGTGCAAGTTGATGCCATGTTTAGAGGATTTTTGGGGCTGTTTTGATTCGTTGGATCAGAACCCATTGAGATTGCGACGATGCGCCGATCTGCGCGAATCCGTGCGATGGATTCTTTTGGCTCGAGCTTTGGATCATTGGGATTTGCAAACAAGGGGCCCTTCTTGGGGCTCGTGTTTCTGCAACGGGCGCACCCAGTTGCATGGGGATTCTGATTGTTTGCAGCGTGTCAGTTACAAAACGTAAAATCCGTCATGAAGCACTTTCCCACCACCATGAATCACTCGCAACATGTATTTCAAGAGGGGTTCGCTTTTTGGAAGCACCCGGAATGAATCCGTATTCTCGTGGATTCGGGGCTCACACTAGTTCGAAGCAAAACATGCTGGCTGCCAGACTTAGCTTCCTACTAATTTGTGTTTGCAGTTTTTTGCTTTTTTGGTTTTCCTAAAAGCAACCCTGAAAAAGTCTCCTCGGCCTGCTCTCTGAAATCACCCCAGCTAGCTGGCTTCGAGGCGGTTTTCGCTTCTCGGCTTCGATTCACTGCAGGGCTGGAGCTCAGACAGAATTGGAGCCATTCCCACCAAATATCCGCCTTTTGTCAAGAACATGTTGAACACGCTGATTCTCCGGTAAAGACCGGCTTTTTTCGTCAGTGGTTGGCATCATGCCCCAAAAAAGGAGGGTATCGCACTTGGCGAGTGCTTGTTGGAGTCTTCAGAAATGGAGGGTGCCCGGAAACTATGAGACATCTCCCCATAGGTTTGGTCGACATTTCCTGCTTCGTCTATCCATTCAAGAATGAGTGAGATCGACCACAACGTGGCGAGTCACCAAATGTCCCATGTCTTGGAGCAACAATTAACTCTGGCTGTAGCTCATTTGCTTGGGGGCAATCTCCCAAATTTGTGTTCGGTACAGTTAACATTGTCCTCGAACATGGATGGTGGTGTCAGAAATTTCCAAGTAGTTGATTTGAACACCCTCGAACATGGGTGTGACACCTAAGGATGTGCACCAAAGGCTCCCACTTAAAGATCATAGAGGGATTTCCTTTAGCCACTGCGAGGGCTCCTGAAGATGGCGCCATGGTGTTGTCGTTTGGAGAGTTCTGACGGTCAACATGAGGCATCCAAGGCTTCAGTGCAGACTACCCTTAGACATAATAGGTGTTGCTCCAACATTTTGTGTGTATTCTTTTTTTTGAACGGGTTTGATTGGTTTGATGGTTAAAATTCAGGATCACGCTGAAGTCGAGGGGGCGACGCCGCGTTTTTGAAATTACTGTGCGTGACGGGATGGCCTTGTCACCCTTCCCGATGAGTGCTATGAGAAGCTTCATGTGGCCGTTTTGCCTTAGGGTTCCAGTGGCATTCGGTGGGGTTGAGCATCTTTGGCAAATCAAAACGAACAGCGGTTTGGGACCCTGCCTTTGTAGTGCTCAGGGGCACTCTGTGGAGACACTGGGGCTGCAATCCAATTTTTCAGAAGAGAGCCTAATAGACGCAATTTCAATAGAGGCAGACGTTGAGGAGTTCTTTTGCAAGTGGTTGAGAAGTTCGACTCAAAATCACTGGCAGGGTCATGAGCTTTTCAATGCAGAACAGTTGGGCCCGATGGAGAATTGTTTGATGATCCATATGACGTTTGTATTTGTAGGTTTTCAGTTGGACACGCGGTCCTTTTGAGGGGTTCGCCAAGGGCGCAGGGCGCATCACATGGAAGCTACTAAAATCGAGGCTGGGTTCCCACGGTTGAGGTAGAGCGACTTCCGCCGACTTGGCTCAGTGCATCTAAATGTGATTTTTCTGGCACCGTGGGTGCTAAATCTGAAGCGCGACGCCTCAGCCCGGCATTGAAGCCACCCAAATGGGGGCTGGGGTTTTGATCGATTCCTTTCAATTGGAGCCCAACCAAAAAGTGTTTTTTTTCTTCTTCTTTTTTTTGGGGGGGGGTTGTGCCCTTGGGCACAAAGCCCGCTTGACCCTGTTTTGGGGCCCTCAATGGAGTTTGCCGAACGCTACCTTTTTTTGAGTGGTTGTGAGGGCCAACGGTCGAATTGATTTGACCCGTACGAAGCTGACATCGAACGCTGGACCCCTAAATGCTCTGCCTAGAGAGGCCTAGCAATAACCCGAGCGGTTCGAATCGGGTTCCATGGAGATCGTGGCATTTCTGAAATGTTGGTCAATTTCGGTCGCAGGTGACCTTCAAAAAGCAATTGGTGTGTGTCCCCCGAAGACGCATCCAATGGATGCCAGTTGCCACTATTCTAGGTAACCAGCCATTTGCCTTGGGGGCAGTTTCCTTGGGTAGTTTCAAGAGTATCAGATTGTAGTTGCTAGGGTTTTCAGACAATTGGAGACTTACATCCCAGGCAAACAAACCAATGATTAACCTGTGGATAGGTAAGACCATTTTCACCTTTGCGGACAATTCGCTTAAGGACGAAGAAGCAGGCTCAGGATCGGCAGCAGACAGGATCATCGACAAGAAGGGCCCGTCGACCATTGAGCCTTTCGCACCATCCTCAGAAGAACCTACAACGCTTCCGCTTGCACTAGGCAGAATCCACAAGCGATTGTCAAATCCCGAAGAGTTGAAGAAGCTCCACCTCCAGCATCACCACATGACAACAGATCAATTTCGATTTAGAACTCGCTCACTTCATTTGCCGAAACCAACATTCGATCTATTTGACAAAATCAGGAGTGAATGTGAAGTTTGCCACGCGGCAAAACATGCACCTTCACGAAGCAAGACGAGAGGACTTCGAGCGGACACCTTTGGTGACATGACATTCATTGATCACTGTCAAGTTCCTCTTGGAACAGGAGAACACATCATTGTTTTTGTCATCTTGGGTGGAGCAACAACATTGCTCACTGCAGAGGCAGTGACAACTACGCAAGAAGTCGGGAACATCACTGTCCTCAGGAACTATTTTGACCAGTACCATTTGCAGCCCAAATCAGTTGTCGCAGATCAAGCCTTCATGACGGAGACATGGGAACATTTCTATCAAACCCTTGACATCGCACCGATATCATTGGGACCGAACACACCATGGCCAAATCGAGCTGAAGCAGCAGTTCGACTCCTGAAGGCACAACTCAAGATCATGCTCAGTTCCAAACACCTGCCACACTGAAGAAAGTGGCATATAGACAGCTGGTGAAGGCAGCTGCAACTGTCAGGAATCAGACTGTCACCTACGGGGGTGTAACACCATTAGAGCTCGCATTCGGAAGACGACCAGCAGATCCCATCGATGTCGCAACACCAACTCAGTTGACGATTGACAGGAATGAGGAGGAGATGACAGCCATCCAGATCAAGCAGCTGTCCAAGCAAGCATTCCAGGAAGCACATCAATCCGAAGACATCCGGCGAGACCTTGCTCAAAATCTCCGAATGAGTTCTAAGCCTCTTCAGGTGAAGGACAAGGTATTTTACTGGCAGGAAGACAAATCCAAGATTCGTTCCGATGGAAGCAAGGGAGGAATATGGCTAAAAGGAAATAAAAGTCATTTCCATTGAAGGAGCAATGGTAGGACTTGATCTTGGGACTCGACTCATCAAGGTTAACATGACAAAGGTCAGAAAGGATGAAACTATCCCTCCAGGGAAACTTGGAATTGATCTTCTATTGCCAGAAGAGCGAGAATCCTTGCAGAAGGAGCAACCCGGCTCCTCTGCCGATATCAAGAAGAAGGAGTCATCCGCACCAGCTCCTAAGCCAAAATCCTCAGTGCCACTACGCATCGCGGGAAAGACAACTCCCAAGCCTGCAGCACCTCATCCGGCAGAGAACATGTTCGTCGAGGACCTCACATCCGCTCCTGAACAAGCACACTGGAATTGTGTACGTAAAGGAAAGATCCACGTTCTCGAGATCTTTGCAGGAAGCGCCAGCCTCAGTCAATGCTGTGCACTCGGTCTTAAGGTTGGGACTCCCGTAGACATCCGCACCGGATTCGACGTAATGACATCCAAGGGACGACACATGGTCATGGAGATCATCAGAGAGCAAGCACCTGATGTAATCCTCAGTGGACCGTGGTCAAACATGCAGAACATCCAACAAGACCAACACGCTATCTTCCCATGGTTGAGTTTGTGGCATCCATTGCGAGATATCAGCTGAAGCACGGAAGATATTTCATCAATGAAAATCCTCAGACATCCAAGATATGGTATCTGAATTGTATGCAGCAACTGTTTTCAGATCCATCCGTGACCTGGGGAGATTTCCATTTCTGTGCATACGGACTGAAAGATCCTGAATCCGGGCTCAGAAGTCTCAAGCCCACGAGCTTGATGCACTGCTTACCTCCAGAGGTAATGAGACCGATCCTCAGAAAATGTAACAAATTCTATCAGCTCAGTCAAGCATGAACATCAACCCCCCTCGAACATGTCAGATCCTCCTCCAGATCCTCCACATCAGCCTGATCATCCCATGCCGCCAGCACCACGCAGTGTGTTACCAGACAGTCCAGTGGATCCGCCGCTGCCGCCACACGACAAACCTGGCGGAGGAGATTCAGCGGCAAAAACAGTCAATTTCGTGGGTGATGTCCCTTTGCCGTCGCAGTCGCAATCATCTCAGCCAATTCTTCCGACTGTCGTGGTACCTTCACCACCTGCGATTCTAACAAATCCCGAAGCAGAAGACTGCCAACACTTGAGCAAGAAGAAACAACTGGCAGTCCATCCAAGAAGCAGAAGACTGGGAAGAAGAAGAAGCCAGATGACACTGATGAGTCACCTGAGCATTCTCCCAGAAATGAACCTGCATCTTCATCCAATTACAATCCGAACAATCCAGCAAACTTGCCGGAACAATATGAAAGTGAGGAAGAACTGATCCCTCATGTTCCAACCTCATCCGGCACTGGAAGTTCAGAGAGAACCATGAGATATACTGACCAGGAAGATGGAGAATCAGAAGACTCTCAGAGGACCAGATCCTACGATGATCACCAAGCTGATCTCGTTCTTGATGAAGCACATTGGTCACTCATGACAGCTGAGCAGAAGATCTGTGCGAACACTGGATCCTTTACGGTTCCGAGAGATATTGAAGGAAACCCTGTCCTTCTTGGACGTGTGAAAGGGACCTTCAACCCATTGCCCCGATGCGGATTCTCTCACCAGAACTACACAGATCAGAATCATGTGGACCAGTTATGCAAGAACATGACCGACGATGACCGTGCACTCTTAGTTTTGTACTCATCCAAGCAAGAATCCTTGAAGGCTTCATCCACATCCGCAATTATTGGCAAAAAGCGGAAGGAAGCGACAGCGACTGAAATACAGGCTTATCAGAAGCAATTCCTTGAAGCCAAGCAGCTTGAGTGCAAATCTTGCTTGATAACGAAGTGTTCGACTTGGTCGACACACGCAAGATTCAGGTCAGGAACTGGGTCACTGGTCGCTGGGTCCTTACCCTAAAGCGAGACAAGGATGGTAACTTCCTGAAGACCAAGGCTCGCTGGGTCCTCCGAGGCTTCCAAGACAAGCAGAAGAATGATCAGCAGACAGATAGTCGCATCCAGGAGTGGCTTCCGCCTTGCAATCCAATCAGCCGCAAATAAGGGCTGGAATATATTTCACATGGATTTGAAGACAGCATTCCTGCAAGGCAAAGCATACGATCAGACTCGTGACATCATTTGTCAGATCCCTCCTGATCTCCGCCACACATTGGAGCGCGCATGAAGAAGCCTGCCTACGGGCTAAATGATGCACCCCGCAGATGGTGGAACATCCTTGATTCGGCACTCCGTTCTTACGGAGTGGTGCCAACCAGGGCAGACCGTTGTACATATGTATACTACGGCAAGCAGCTTCCGAAGCCCGCATTGGTGAGTGAAAAGAAGTCATCCAATACTTTCGATCTCGAAGGAGCAGTTGATTACCTTATGGATCCTGTTTCCGGTAACAATGCCAAGAATCGACAAGTTCATGGAGCACTTTCTCTTCATGTTGATGATCTTCTTATGACGGGCGATGATGTGTTCGAGAAGGAAATCATGGGACGACTTCGCAAAAATTTTCAAGTTGGTTCCGAAGACAAAAATGATTGCCTCTTTGTAGGACAACGCATCCAATGGAAGCAAGACGACAAGCATGGCTGGTACATCAATGTCCATCAGAACGTTGCCATTGACGAACTTCAGGAGATCACTTTTGACAAGTACCTGAAGGACGACACTCCTCTCACTCCACAAATGCATACTGCATACAGAAGTGTCCCAGGTCAGATCAACTGGTTACAATTGCGAACGCAGTTCCACATTGGTTCTCAATTCTCCAGGTGTGCATCCAAGGCATCATCACCGACCATTGAGGACGTTCGCGCCATGAACAAGACAGTCAGAACCATCAAAAGCATTCCGCTTAGTATGAGATTCTGGCCCTTCGTGGCAAGACACGCATAGTTGGTTATCCCGATGCATCCTATCGCAACAATGAAGATAAGTCATCCCAACGTGCGCATGTTATATTTCTCGCAGAACAAAGAGATCTTCGCCAGGGCTCATCGAACTCGAGAGGCTCATTGGTCGACTATGAGACGCACAAGATCGCCGCAACAACCATGTCCACAGCTGTTGCAGAATTGCACGGACTGATGCTTTGCCACGGTTCAGCATTATTTCTTCGCGGTCTCTGGTCAGACATAACAGGCGAAACCGCAGATGTACACATCCGCACTGATGCGAATAATCTTGTCACCACAGCATCCACAACACATCAACCGGAACAGAAAGAGACAATGCATTTGATCCAAATGTTGAGAAAGGAAAGCAACAGTGGACAAATGCATGACTTTGCACATGTACGGAGTGAAGATTGCCTGGCAGATTCGCTGACCAAGCATTCAGCTAAAGCAGACGAGCTCATCAAGGCCGTCCTCACCGGCAATTTCTTGAACGTTGATGCACATCCACCCTTCCGTACTATGTTGCAGAACAAGGCATTTTTGGTTGAGTGGCTAGCACGGAATACGAAGCACGGACCCGACATCGTTGCCTGTGCAGGAGTCGGTATAGCAGAATCCATGTTTGCTTATTGGGGAACCTGGGCATGATCCACATGTCCACGAATTCTGATGCATGAGTTTTTCATTTTGCACATTTTCAATTCCTCAATTCCGTGATGCGTGTTTTTGCACTTGACCCATCAAGAAATATGTGTCTGCATCCGCAGCCACTTTCGGTTTACAACCATTCCGACCTTTGCAATAGTGTATGCTCGATCACTTCGAAGACATGCCGATTCTCAACACGATCTTTGGACGATCCAACACCACGGCTCCTTTGCCGAAGCCGCTGGTGAAGAGACGGGAAATCCCCTGCTCGTGATGAGGAAGATGAGACATCCGACTGCCCCATGGAGCAGGTCGCCGATGAGAATCCATCCGCCTCTCAACAACCAGAGAATGTCAACATGGAGCAGGTTGACTACGACCCAGATTCCGACAACGACGATGATTCAGGTGAGGAAGAGCAACCTCCCGCAGGAAGGCCGACGTCGAAGGTGATGCCACATCCAAAACTGGTTCCAAAGTCACCACCACCAACATTGAGGCTTGTGTCAAAGGTCAAGCCAGCACCGAAGAACATCCTGGATGAGGAGACAGAATCCGACAATCATCCTAATGACCGACCTGCACTTCCAAGGCGACCAGCGATGCGGCCAACTCTCACATCCAACGACCGGTGGCATGTACCAGATGGATCAGACACCGACGTCAGCCTCCAGAGGGAATCCGTAAACTCAGGACCTGTCGGGAATTCTAAATTCCTAAATTTCGTGTACGAATACTACAAGGAGTGCTCAACCATCCTCGAAATGAATCCGGACTTCCACTTCATTCCTGAGCATGAACGACCGCCTGGGCAAGGTATTCTGGCTGAAGGCCAGATTCAACGACTATTGGCGGCCAACGCTTCAAGGTGAAGGCCCTCACGCAGAGAAACAATACATGGACTTCATCAAGAAGGTCTGCAGCATTTGCTGCTACACCAATGCTCAGCCAGAAGTTTACGGAACCGACATCATCCCGATGGTATGTCACAACAGCTTCATTGATCTCGAGAAGACCGTCAAGAATGTTGAACAGGTTTGCAAGTACTTCAGCATGGATCCATCCAAGGCAAAACAGATCACCGACCTCATCCTCTGGCGAATCGAGAGAATGAGCAGATTGTTTTCCGGATGTCTTCGACATGATCCAAGGCATGGCATCCATAAAGAATGCAAACGACAAGTGGACATGGGTTCTGATGGATCCGTTGAGCTCTACGATGCATTGTCCTGCATTACACATGCCAGGAATTTCATTGGAAACAAGCCAGGACTTCTCTTGATGGCGATGTTCCCGAACTATGGAAAAGTCACGTTTCGAGATTGCGTTCGTGTATCCATCCGTGGACGGGTCATACAATGAGCGCAAGCCGAGGGGAGAAATTGTTCCAAGCAATCGATGGATCGACAAACTCACCACGAGATCCGCATACGATGCACTCCGGCCTAATGGCAAGGAATTCCTCAATGATCCCGACATGGAGTTCTACGTGAGATGCAACAGCGGTCATACACGACAAGTCGATCTCCAATCTTTTGGACGACCCCTGTACTCCGAGCAGCAGAGTGAGCCTCGCCAAGAAGAACCGGACTATGACCTTCCAACGGAATCCATTCCTCCAAGTCCGTATCTGTCAAGATCAGATGCGCCCCATGAAGACGAAGGCGCAGCTCAGGCACAATACAGAATGCGAAGGCCGGCACCACCATCCATTGAAGAAGAAAGAAAGATCAAGCCGTTCGCGAAGAAGCCCATCACTTTCATGTTCCATGCAACCTATGGAAATCAACTCATCAGCATCATAGAGAACGGGCTCAGATCTGGGAAATCCCAGTCAAACCCTTCGGGGAGAATGCACGTCCACATGGCATGCATCGACGACGTTATCCTCGACGATGACGAGTTTGAAGCAGCACTCACACATGTGCCAGCAGGAAGATTGATCCTTGCATTCCTCAAGGACCAGGACTATGGCATCCGACTCTCCGAAGAGCGAACAGCGCTGACAGAACAAACCATCGAGGCGAAGAATATTGTCGCAGCATATGAACCTGATGGTAGCACCATGATGAGCAACAACTGGATCATGAAGAAGCTTCTCAGTCGTGAAGATGTTGAGATGTACGACACCAAGATCCGTGAATTCGCCGATGCTTTCTTCAGCCATGTAAATTCCGATAAGCACAGCAAGGAAAAAGATACTTCCTCAGAGACCAAGAAGCGACGGCACTCCACCGATCAAGACGAAGTTGAAGAGGAGAACATGGAACCCTCCGGGGAGAGATCCGTCAAACCAAAGGTCACCATGAGTCATTCGACACAGGGTACAGTGATAAAAGGCTTGCAGACCGCTTCATAGGATTCCGAGTCAACACAAGCCACCAGGGACAATCCATCCTCCAATCCTCCATACTGGCATATTGGACTCTCTCCGAAACAGATCCAGGGACCAAATCAACGACCTCTACTACCACAGGGCACCAGTTCCCTTCTGGGATAGGCACCCCGGCAGTGGGCCTCACCCCCCCCCAACGAGCCACAATTTGCTCCAACATGTGCATGCTGACACACGGACATCTCCCCGCAGCATTCGTACTAAGTTGCATTACATCACATCACATTGCACTACGTCGCATACGTTGCACAACTGGTGGCAACTTATTTCCCTTCGCATCAGCCCCGCGCAGGAGTTCTTAGTTGTTTTGAACCGCCGAGCTTGGGATTCGCGTTCGGGGCATCCGAGACGGCTTGCCCATGTTTTGATTTCTGATTTTTGGGCCAGTGAACTTGAGGGGACCTGGTTTTTGGCCTGCCTTTGAATAATTCAAATATGGAAGCAAAGATTGCAAACAAGCAACCTGAGGTTTGTGCTTGTCGTCACGGAACGTTTTGCATTTTTGGGGGAACAGGGCCTGAGTCATCCACGGAGATGCGGATCTGAGGCCCCCTTAGTGCCCCTTAATCTCCCTTGATTCCTTGAGTTTCCTTGGGGGGTTGTGCAGGGGTCCGTTGGGTTTCTTAGGGGCTCAGGGTTCTCTAGGGCCTCTAGGGCTTCCTGAGGATTCCTCTAATTTCCTTTGGCAAGGGAAGGAACTCCGAAGCCCATCCTGCGCATCCTGTGAGGTACCTTGCAAAAGAATTCGACATGGGCGGCGGCGGCAAAGACAAGGGGAAAGGAAAGGCGCGCTTGAGCCATGGACCAAGCCCAGCCCGGTTCCAAATTCACCTGGTTGCCCGCGTAAGGTCCAACGAGGAGTTATCCGGAGACCCCTGCTAATGCTAGGACCCCCAAAAACCACCCCTGATTGGTACGGTCCTCTAGTTTCATCCGAAGTTGACATGACCTAGTTACTCATTTCCGTTGGGGGAAGGGTTTCCCTTTCAAATCAACCAGCCAACAACCGAAGACGGCTCAAAGGGACTTTTTGGGAAGGGTGGGTTGTGGTGCTCATTTATTTTTCTGTTCCCGTGGAAATCCGCTAAGCTTTCGAGCCAAATGGGGCCCAAAAGCAATTGGATGCACGCCAACCTTGTCCACAAGAGGGCTAGGACAAGCCTGTACAAAGCTAGTGCAGGGAATGTGTTTTTGGAATAGTCCTGCCCCAGTTTCTCTTCCATAGCGCATTGGGAACGACCAGAAGTTAGTTTCCTTGTGGGGCAATGTTTTCTGGACAAAATTACAACGCGCTTAGCTGGAGGGGTCCTCACCTGGAGATCCATTCCTTGTTTCCGGTTCTAGACACTTTTCCAGGACGCTCTTGTGAGCAATCATGTGCTTTTCGATTCGAGTTCGGAACCCATATACAACCTGAACAATCCAAGTGGCTTGTCTTCACCCCAAGTTCCTGAACAAAACAATCCAAAGGGCCTCAGAAAAGGAACCAAAGGGGGGGTGACCCCCAGAATTCCGTTTCATTTATGGTTCCATATTTCCCTTTTATGGGGTCACCCTCAATCTAGAAAGCGGTTTGGATGTGGATTCACATGTTCTTCCCCTTGGCCCTTTTGCAGTAATCTTGTAGTCCTCTTTGGGTGGATCCACAGAGTGGCCGCATCCAAACCGTATTCTAGACTCAATATTCTAGGGGTACTTTCCCAATTCTTTCCGGGGATCCTTCTTTCTAGAAACCCTCCAGAAACCCAGGGAAAACGCCTGGTTTGGAAAAGAACGATGGTTGAAAATAATGGAATTGGAATCAACCCCTAGAAATAAGTCCACAGCGTCTGGGACCTGGGCTGGTCGATGGCCGCCTTCGTCAGGGGAGCTCCAACCGAAAGCCCCGAGGGGGGCGCGGAGGCAGGGTTGGAGTTTCCCATGTGGGGTGCAACGGCGCGTGTCAACCCCAGGCAGGTCTTGTCTTAGTGTATATATTATATTATATGTATATACATATATCATATATGAGTATATATATATATATACATAATACATGTATATATATATATATATATATATTATACAACCATATATGTATACATGTATATATATATATATATACATATGTATACACATATTAATTGTACATAGGGTAGACCAAATATGGTAGCGAGAGTCAGAACACCCCAGCTATTGGAATGACTGCCAAACCGAATCAACCCTTGTGGTTCCGGGAAATTCCTGGGTTCCAAACCACTGTTGATTTTGGTTTTCAGCAAACTTATTTCCGCCTTCCAAATCAGTATTTTGGCGACTGTAGCAGATAATCAATTGCATGTTGGCAATCTGTGGCATTTTATAGCAAGCTTTGGCACATATCTATTGTGGCCAAGTAGAGCAATTTGAACGCAAGTTATCAAGCAGAACCCCTGGTTTGACTTTGATAAACAGCCTCCAATGAATATCAACTATCTACAACATAAGATCAATCACAGATAGAACTATTAAATCTATTCCATGCAAGAATGTTAGCTAATAGTAAACAAGCTTAACAATGAGTACATAGCTGGAAGACAGGACAAAGCAATTTGTAGTTAAGGACTTGCAGTAGTTAGATGCTACCAACAATCATAACTAGAAGAGCACACATAAATCGGCGAACATTAGTCCCACTCCCCCAACAATTAATACTCTGATTCGCGATCGGCCCTATCCAGAAGATTGCTCTGGTGTCAACATTGTAGTGTATCCAGTTGCAGGCTTTACATGATGGTTTCCCCTGGTTATGACGATGACAACTGGAAGCACTGGGAACAATATCTGGGCGAATTGTTCACGAGCAACTCCGACGCAAGACTGGCTGACAGACATGACTTCCCTAGCAGATGGCCACAAAATGGGCCCTTATTTCCTATGATTGTTACGGGCCTCCCCAACAGTGGCACACTATCAAGCGCTATTAGCTCCTATTGGGATTGCGGGGGGCACCTTTTGGGGGGCCCCTTGACAACCGTAGGACTACTGCTACTAAAAATTAACATCCAGCTGGGTTGCCTCCGAAGCCGCTAAAACTTCTCGTCCAAGGGTAGGTCACTTCTTCGGCGCGTCGAACATCGCCAGGCACCCACCCTTGGATCAACTCCCAGATCATCCAGGCGGATTTCAAGCCGTGGGGCTGGTTTCCCACTACTCCATCACTCCATGTGTGGGTTTGTGGGTTTGTCTTAAAACAGGGGGTTTCCGTTTGGTTTTGCTTTGAACCCACCCCAAAAGGCTGCGATTCCGGGACTGGTTTATCAAATGGATAGTAGTGCCTTACGAGAAAGTGGCGCGATGGCACATCCATTCTTATTGCAAGCAAATCTTTGGGCATATGGTTCGGGCTTTCCTACCCAAACCACGAGGGTCTCCACATATAACAAGTCAGGGGTTGTGGGTTGGTGGGTTCCTTGTAGGGCCCTTACGGGTGCGGGATCGCCGCTGTGCGGCATAGTCGAGTTACATGTTGTATTTCGAAGAGTGTTCTTCACATCCCTTTTAGTCTTGTTGCTCGGGACACATATTGCAGACAGGATCGAACCCCGAACGAACAGTTTCCAATTCGTTTTCGAGGCTCGAATTACACCAACTTTGTTTGGCGCTTGAAAGGATAGTTTGAGGATGATTGACCCCTATTTCCTCCACTCCAAGCATCCTGAGGTTTCAAATGGACAACCTTGGCCCTCCTTTTGACACCCCAACATGCCTCTCACTCCATTTTGAGGCCAACCGAAATCCCTGGTCTAACTTATTTGCAACATGATTGACTTGCTGACTAGGGTCTTCCATCATGTTCTGCAGAACTCAGGGCCGTTTCACAGGCGGCAGAGATCGGCACGGGTTGCAAAAAGGAACCGGCCATGTTTCTCCCAGTTTCTTACCTCTAGACCCTACTCTACACCTTGGATGGTTTTTCCAGGTTACTTTCTATGGCTTGCTTGGAAGCAATGGGTTTGGCAAAACTTGCCAGGCGTCGGAGAGCAAAGATGTGGGGCACCTGCCGAAGCCTCAGAGCCCAGGGCTGGCTTCCCCAATGACAAGAGCCCCAAATCCGCGAGGCCGCGGACTGGCTTTCAAAGAACTCTGAACCGTGGGAAACCGCTCATCATTTTTGTGGGGCGCATGCGAGCTTAAATTGGCACATCCCCCATTCTCCTCTGGGTATGTCTCAAAAGTTTGAATTTCCTTTCACAAGCCTTGCAAGGCCGGCCCAACATGCGCCCATTGCCATGATTGGTCCCAGACTCGCGTTGTCGTTTTCCGTGGAGGGTGCCCTCGCGGTGGGTCAACAGGAAACCAACAATGTTTTCTTGTCTCGGTCCTTGTAGCTGGTGCCCTCTGTTTTGGAGGCTTTTCTGAAGTCAACTTGACAAAGGACACGCCTCATGTTTTCAACGGCCACTGGAGGTCTGCGGGGTTGATCAGCAAAAACAGCATGGCCAGGCTTTCATTCGTCGCTTCATACATTCGGCCTTGCAGGGAGGGTAATGGTTTTTGGCAGCTGGACGGAGCAACTCGTGCTTCCAGTTCAAAGTATTCTGCTCAAAGTATTCTTAGACTCCCAACCCAAAGGGGTGGTTTACGGCAAAGGCCCAGAAGGATCCGCACATTGGCTCAGGATGAACGTGATCATGCAGCACTTGCCGGGGCCCCCGGGCACCCGGGCAGAGAGAACGGCTGAGACAAGAGCTGACGGGATGATTTTGCCGAGCAGGGGGGGGAGCGAGTGCTGCCCTTTTGGTTTCCCTTTGAACAACAACGAGAGTACCCTCAGAAAATTGACCCATATCAATGCCCAGAAAGTGATGCGGATGGTCTCTTACATGGGTTGTACCCCCAAACTCATCAACCAGGGGTTTGGCTTTCTCAACTGGGTTCCCACCAGATTCTTCACTGGAAGGTTTTCACCAGACACTTCCTCAGCTGAGCTATCATTTGCCCTTGACAAGCCTTGACAAGTCGACCTCGGGGTCATTGAACAGCAGACAGGATGTTCTTTTTTCGCCGAACAGTTTCGCCTGTATTTGTCTTAAAGGCCTGAATCAGGCACCTACTCCCCAGATTCACATGGAACCCACAAAACCACCATCAGAGAAAACAAAAAACGGCCCCTTGTGGGTTCCAGACTCTTTTCATCTCTCCGGACCTACAAGGTTTGGGCCAGGGACATCCCAAACTTAGACGGGTCGTTTTTGCGACGTTTCAGAATACTTTGGAGCCGGACTCCCACTCCCCCTCTCCTCTCTCCTCTTTCGTCTCTCCTGCCCCCCCCTTCCCCCGCGCGCAAGGCCCCAGATGAATCTGGTGAACCTCTCCACGGCCATCCACCGTGTGGCGAAGATTGCGGGCACGGACCCCTGGCAGCAGGCGCCGAATTCCTCAAGTTCTGCGCCAAAAAAGCCAGTGGGAATTCCGCTGCCTCAAGTCAATCCAAGACGTCTCTTGGGACTTGCTGGGGTCTCCTCCAAGAGGTTCTCTAAATTTTGATTTGAGACGAATCGATATGGTCAGAGTCAGAACAGCATATTTCTAGACTCCAGATGTGGGCCAGATCTTGTGCTACGCTAGAAAGAACGGTTCCGTTACCCTCTTTCCAACAATCATGGAAGTAGTCCAGATGCTTACCGTCGGCTTACATGATTGGTTTCAAATTCTTGTGGGATTCCCGTTCAACAACAAGGCGCCCTTCTGCTTGTTTCTTTCGGAAAACCTTAAAAGAACGATGAACACGGGGAAGCCTGAAAGAGGAGGTTCCCACTAGGCTCTAAATTGTTGGTGCTTCCAGCTGGCTTGCCAAGCACGACCAACTCCAGTTTCCTTGCTTTGGGATTTCGCGGACGTCGGACATCGCTGAAGGAAACTAGGTAGGGAACTATCGGTGGATGAACCCCAGGTGATTCATCCGAGTCCGCGGCTGCTGTTTCCGCGTGCGAGAGGCTTGTTGCCGGCATTTGTGAGGACTTCTGCTGCTCAATGTTGAAACGGGTGGCGCAACGATGCTAGCCGATCTTGAAAAGGTGGTGTCGCAAAAGATACACAGCGGGCAATTGCCACCGCCTAGGCAGTCCCCAAGTGCCATCCTCGTGTTGGTCGAGCTTTTAGGGAAATCTCTCCACCCTGACCGAACACCCAAAGCAACGCCTCCCGTCTGGAGCTGAAAAGTGGCTAGAAACCTCCAGTAAACCTCAGCGGTCACATGCAAACCTGAGCCAGTCCAAAAGATGAAGGTCCCACCAACAAGGTTTGGTACCCCCGGGGCCCTTTTGGAAGTTGTCGCTAGAACACCCACGCCCTTCAGAAGGGTCCACAAAAAAGAGCTGGTAGGCTCCAGTTTTTCCCAGTTTACCTCCAGGTATCCTCCTATATACCTTTGCAAGTGTGGTTGCCCACCAAGAATTGTTGCGACCATCTAGTACAGTAATGGCAACCCAAACACCTCCATTGCTCATTTGTGGTGGACTTTTTCCAAGATCCAAGCTGCGCCAGGGCCAACTGCGGCGTAACGCCAACTTAGAGGCCCTGCTGAATAGCGTCTGCACCGCGCCCCTCGGTGAGAAGCTTCGATTCGGCGATTCGCACTGTTTGGCCTTTTGCCGGGTTGGGATTTGCTTATGCAACGTCGTGGCACCCTTGCTGTGGAAGCCAAAGGGAAGCCAAGTAAGACGAAGGTTTCCGAGTTCCACTACCATGGCTGTGCGACTTTCTGAGCTCCTCGTTCGGGCCGTTTTTGGTGGTGTTCTTGCACTGCGTTTGCCTCTCGGCCCGAACCTAACGGTAAATGCTAGCCATCTGAGACTTGCAACACATGCCCCACTGAACCATCTTTTGAAAGTTCGAAGGGACTGCACCGTGCCACCCGACCAAAACAACCACCCCAGCCTCCTCGAAGCAAATAGAGAACAGACAAAAATAGAAAACAGACACACTCCTCATCAAATCTCCCTCTGCAAACACAGTCTTGTCCCCGAACAAACACACTAAGCACGCATCGTTCTGAAAAGCACCCGCTTTTAATCTGGAAAGTTGGGACGCCTCCTCTTGTAGACTTCGAGTGTACATTGCAACCCAGAAGGTGGACCAAGATACCTGGACCCTCAAACTACCTCCAACAAACTGGGAAGCCTCCAAACAATTGAGACGAAGCTCCAGGTGGGTCAAAAGTAATTATGGTGCTAGATAATTGCAAAAACACAGTCCACAGTACTCACGATTAAAGCTGGTTTCGAAGTACTCCAACAACATTCCAATCAGCTAAGCCCCTCCCTCCCCTCCTGCCGGCCTTTTTGCCGCGGAGACGGCTCGGAGACGAAGACGCCGAGGCTAAATGTGGTGGAGGCTACGGAGGTCCAGCCACAGTCCGTCAGCAATGCCTGCAGCCCCAGGTGTTGCTTTGCCTTTTTGAGGATCACCAGTGAACCACCCATTTTGAGGGTTCCCCTCATAGACAAACCAAGAAGAGAGTCACTAGAAACCGAGCGAAATTCGTCCAAGGTTCGTTGTCAACATTTCCAGCGTCTATTTTCGGAGGAGTGATCAGGTGGCACGAGCTTCAATTTTCGCATTTAGGGGAAGCAAATAATTTGTCCGTGGCTCACATGGGAGTGTCTTTTAGGAGGACTGTTTTCGCCTTCGTTGGGGACACCAAGAGGAAGACCGCTATTCATTTTCTGGATTCCCCAGTTTTGACGCCAACCCATGTGGCTTATAGCCTTGCGATCAAGTTTGGCCATCAAGAATGACTTGACCAAATGGAGTCATAATGCTGACTCCGGATGAATTAACCCCTGGTTGATGTTCCCCTCCTGTGATGATTCCCACCAACGCCATGGACACCCTCTTCCGATAAACGGTTAATTGATTTGGGGTCAACATCACCCGCAAGAAACCGCAAATAAAACACACACAGCCGATCTGTGTGATCCGAGGTGGTGTGGTCCTTGGCTACCCTGAGGATTGTCCACAGGCAAGGAACCTTTCGGTAAAAGCGCCGCTCCCGATCTATCAGAGCTGGTTGATTCGGAACACCGGGGTGTCCCGTTTTCTGGGAATCCGGATTGCTTTGGTGTGGGAATGAGAGCACGATGCACGTTCCGGGGCTTTGTGACTTTGGCCGTGATGAAGGGTCCGGTCAAAGGGACCCTTTTGTTCGGTTCGCGAATTGTTATAATTCGCCCAGATGACTTGTTCTTCGGGAACTTGGGAATGACTTTTTTTGGTTTGCTACCATCCTTTTGCTTCCAATTTCAAGGAGAATTGCCAGGGTGAAAGTTGATGGATGGTAGAACTCCATGCAAAGTAAAGGGTATTACCACACCAAGATGAAGGACATTCGAGACGTGCGAACAGGATATTTGTTTGCACTTCCGGTATCAGGTTGCTGTTTTGTATCTTTGAATTCCGAAGATAGCGTATTGATGGTGTTTTTGTTGGGGGTGATGTTTTTATGGCAAGAACTGTGGATTCTTTCGGACCTGTGCAGGTTGCCAAAGAAAAGGGTAAAGGGGTCCAACCAACCACCTGTGTGCCATGGTCACACTCTTCTGGGATATCTCCGAGCGACTTCGCTTATGAAGGCCCTTTGGCGAGTTCCCATATTCCCGGTTCCGGAATTACTCCCCACAGATCAACATGGAACAGCCAAGAAAAAAAACATTTTGTTGAGGAATCTCCTTTTGGGGGACCCTTTTGGTTTCTACGGTAATTTGTAATTTGTCCAGATGCAGCGCGAGCGCGTGGGGTGCGGAAAATTGCTTCCCGTCGTTTGGATCTTTCGGCCACAAGGAAACCTACGGATGGCGTAAACGTAAGGGAACAAGAAAGTCCCCTAAGTTTATCGTACTTTACCCTGGTTTTGGGGTCGAGTGTGGTTGGTTTGCTTGCCATATTTAGGGCATCCACCGTAGCTCTCTCACTTTTAGGGGGTTTGCCTGGTGTCAACTTGGGCTTGAGGCCAAGCCACCCAAATCGAGAGTCGAGCAGCTGGATTCTGACACTGGGTCCAGGCTGGATTCATTGGATCTCAACATTCGGACCATTGTGAAGTGCGGACATGACAGCTTCGACCGTTTTGCTTGGCTCAAGAGGGTTTCCGATTCTTCTAAAGGAAAAACACGCGGTTCACTTTGGGGTCATCGTTTCCTGCTGGGAATACTCAAGTTTGGTAGGCCCTAAAAGGGTTCAGAATGTTGCATTTTCTGCACGATTGAGCTAAACGAGCGACTCGAATTGGGGCCAATGAATGTTCCTTAGACCTTGCTTGAGCCGGGTGGATTGGGCTCAGGGGTTCCTGAGGAGTTCCGATCTTTATGTGCCCCTTTGCGACAGGACAGGCTTTCAAGACCTTCCTGTGAAATCGACATGCACCTCAGCTTCGATCCGCTTGTTGAGACGAAGATCTGTAGCCTTTCTATGCCCAAGTGGCCAAGGGGGCCATGTCAGTGATTGCAACGTGAACACGTCCTTGGGAGTTCCAAAGATGGCACGTTGCTGTGCAAGATGAAGAAAGGTAGCGCAGCTGGTCAGCCTACCGGGAGTGCGTTTCAGCGCCTCGAGGTTCTTCAGCGGCTCTAGGTTCTCCGAGGAAACGGGGGACCTGTTGTTTTTAAATGTTGGTTTTGTCCATTTTTAGCGGGTGGCCGCAACTTTTGCTACCATACCATGGGCTGCAAAATGCACCAACCTTTCGGGCAGAGAACACGCAGGAGCCCTGGGTTGGGATGGATTCCCCTTTGGTCTCCAGAAATTAAAGAACCCCAAACTAGGGTTTCATTGGGCCCTAAGTCATTCGGCCCGAAGTTAAGGCTCATAAAATGACCGCTTTTCAAGGCCCAAAATTCAGACTTACGCGTTGCCCACATTTTTTCCGCCAAAAACAGCAACACCCTCCCTCCATATGCTTTATTGTTCCTTGTTCTTTTTCCTGCAAAACAACCACGACCATTCCCTTCATTTTCATGACCCTTCGCGATCTCGTCCAGGCCGCTGCTGCAAGTGGGGCCGACCCAGCGCACTGCAAGGGGTGTTGGGTATTCCAAGCTCCAAACACCGTCCCAAGGGAAGAGGGTATGGATACGACTCGTTCTTGAAACATAACAGGCGGGTAACCAAGAAACTAGACGGGTTTTCCCAGCGGTTAGGGGCCAGTGTCAAAAGCGCGATGCGCTTGGCGGGAGGTATGGGCCTTTGGGGAATAGGACAACCAGCACAACGATTCCTATTAAGAGATTCATAGCCATGACTCACATGTGGAGTTTTGACCAATGAATCTTCGTGGCAATGTCTCCAACTTGTTCATTCACAATACACTCAGTTGCTACTGTCAATGTTGGTACGTTGGTAGGTGTCCTCTAAAACAGAAGCAAAACTGAGACACCAGTGGAGTCCATCATGCACCGTGCAAAAAGCGGAGCCTCTCTCAAGAAATTCATCCCCTGTTTCAGCTTGCCCCAAGGACGTTGTGAAAGAAATCATGCCGCCAGGAGAGTTAATGGTTTCCCTCATTGCGGTATCCCCCAGGCCCGCAGGGCTGTTGGGGATGTAAAGAGGGATGTATAACAGTTCTTTGACTGATGTGGTAAAAGTGCCTTCTATTTCCATGCTCTGCTCGTTTGCTCGTTGTGGGCAAATCCTGCTGAACACGTCAGCCAGCCCAACCAAAAAACCCGTCGAGGGAAATTCGGGGCTTTGGAGCCTACAGTAATCCCAATCACCAACCCGGGGTGTGAACCGATCCCGTGGATTCGTGAGCAACTGAGCCAGCGGGGGAGCGCACCAGCGGCCGGTTTTGTCGTGAATATTTCGGACTCCGCCTTCTGGGGTGCTTCTCAAGCATGTGGTTTTGGGATGCAATTAGTCTTCATGGAGCCCTGCTTCATTTGATCCACAATCGATTCCCGGGTAGATGAAGGCTCATACAGCATGGTCCCCTTGGGTCATTTTACGATGGGTACGCATATCCACCTACCTTGGATTTTGGGCAGAGCCCATTATATCTCATCAGTTTTATATAGTACCTTTTGATTACAGTTGTTTCTTTACATGCGGTGAGTCTTTTTTGAGGGCACTTTTGTTTGGTGTTTTAAAAGGAAGCCAAGAGGAATTCATGGGGAATTCAGCCCACATTTCTTCGACGACTCCGAGGTGATCTCTCTGGTTTGTGTGTCGAACATGGCCCGCGTCTCAGCCTTGCTGGCTTCTGTGTTGGTATTCAACCCCGGCCCATGGGAGGCTTCGCATGACTCCCCAGATCTTCAGGGAACGCTCGGAGGAAGCAGACCACTCCTTGGCTTTCACGAAGTTTCACTTCTTATAGGCACTGTCATCCAGCTTCGCTGGAGCTTACCTGGTAAGAGGGATATGCCGTTTTTGGGGATATGGTAACATCAGCAAGCCCAAGGGGTGAAGCCGGCCAAGTTCGTGGGCTTCGGGTCGGTTTTTGGTGTCCTCTCAGATGGCCCAAGGGATCCATGGAGTGAAACGCTTTCCGGTGGCGAACTTTTGGGCCCAAGGTAACACGCTTGGTGAATCCACGTTTGTTCCAGGGTCCCTTAAACGATACAGTTGGGACAGTAACGCATCTTTCACCCCACTCAGGGAAAGCATCGTCTTCTTTCTGTTTTTTTTAAAGCAGGCGGTTTTTGAATGTATCTTTCCACCTGCGCCCTGCTTTCTCCCAACGCAACCCCGGCCGAGCACCTCTTTCACCTCAATCGACCGCATTCGGGCGAGGCTCAGTTTAAGAGCTTCGAGCTGTCGACCACCTTGTGGGCCCTAGCCAAGCTGGGCTCTTTGGAGGAGCGGGTCACCTCTCCGCTTCCAAGCCGCGGGACCAGACCGGGGGAGTTGTGGCTGTCAACATTTTGGGATCCCATTGTGGACTAGAATTCACCACCCATGAAAGTCTATAAGAAAAAAGATGTGGGGGGCAGGAGACGGTTTGAATCATGTTTCCGGGCAAAGCACCACGGCAAAATCCCCGTGTAAGGGACCTTCATCATGGGTCTTCGCGTGTTTTACCCCGAATCCGTGGGGAAACATTGCCAGGTGTGTCTTCCCTTTTGGCGATGGCGGTTTTCGAAACATCCACAACAGCCTGGTGCTTCCAGTTCCCGCTACGGTAAGAAAACCATGCATGTTTACCTCTAGGCTTTACCCTCCCCAACAATCATAGCACCTGAGGGTACCTGGAAGATTGATTTCCCGGGGCTTCTCCCTTTTTGAAGACCTGCCCGCTTCCTTTTGGTTCCACTTTTGAACGCCAATGGTGGAAGAAGCAGCCAATGTTGTTTTTGTAAGCCAATGTCAAGCCTGCCTTTTAGATTGCTTTTGACTCATTGTCGTGATTCCTGTTATTTGTTTTCTCTCTTAAACAAAAAAACACTTATTATTGTGTATTTTACTATATGTTATTTCTTTTCAGGTGCAAGCTGTCTTCTTTTGTTGCACCTCTTTTGACAACCCATGATTCCATCCTCCTGGGTCTTTCAATCTGGGCCTGGCTGTTTCAAACCGGTACGCCAGAAATGGCCTTGACAGCACGTGTCAGCATACCTCCGTGTCAAACCCTTTGCAACTGCTTGGTCGCCTTTTGGAAACACAATCCAAGAGCGGAGCTGTCTGGTGAACGCACAGGATGCGGCCCCAGTAGACAAGGCAGTATTTTATGCCGCCGCGACCTCAGTGAATTTCGCTTCGTCTGGTCTATTGGAGTCAGTTGGGTTCACAATAACAACCAGGTACAGATATCTGCCCTTTCAATTCTTTGCATGGTTCTGAGTGGACCATTTTCGTACCAGGTTTTGATTTTGACTCGTTTGTCTTTTTGGTTTTCCATCATTTCTCTTCAACCAACAAAAGAAAAGAGGTTCATACCTCCAATGTATCCCCAAACTCTTCGTTTAGTTCTGATACCTTTTTCCGTGAGGTTATGGTTTCCGAACTTATATAAACCTCTATAGCCATGTTGCCCAAAGTCAGCAGCCGAGTCTTTGAGTTCCTGGACTTTGGTGCATGTCTGGTTACCTGGTTGCTATGTGGCAAACATAGATTTGGGTCACCGTCGGCCAATCTCAGGTCACATCCCCCTGAGAACCTGAGGGTTGTCCTTGTGGTTTTTCATTGGGTGGTTCTCTCGGTTTTTTGGGCAATAGAGTTTTGGGCGCTTATTTTATGTCGGGCTCATAAACGCAAAGGTAACATGGCATGGAGGTCAGAAAGCAAGTTTGAATGTGCCGCCAACCGCAACTACATAGACACGTTTTGTGTAGTGCAAATGACCTTGCAAAGTGGATCAGTTAACATACTGCATGCGGAACAACTTCAGGCTTGCTCCCTGAGAAAAACCGCCGCGATTCCTTCCTTCCCTTCAAAGACACAAAACAAAGACTCGGCTCTCCCGTGCAAAGCAAAAACGGGCGATCCCCCCCCCCCCCCGATTTTTGTGAGAAATTGGCATCGAATCGGAGGCGGCCACGCACATCCACAACAACGTGAACGAGTTTGGGTTCCGGTGCTTGGCCACGACCGCCTGGGCCTTCGCCACGGCCAGGCGCGGAAGACGTGATGGCTGCAGATGGTCTCACCCAGATGAATCAACGGAGGAATAAAGGTATAAAAGCCTTGATTTCCAGGGTTCTCACAAAGCTTCTCCAAGAAAACACATAGTTTCGCGATTCATAACCTTTGAAGCTTCCTTGCATTAGTGGCCGTTGCAAGCATGACCACCCCACGCGGAGTTTTCGACAACCCAACCGCGTGGAGGCCCCATACTCAAGGCCTGCCTTAGTTTCCCCTTTGACCCCAACCCCAAAACAAGCCGGCTTCCCCTTGCCACACAACAACAAAGCACGCATGGTCTATAAGGGCAACTGCCTGCCCCTTTTCACAGCGCGGGTTCATTTGCAAGCACTGAGCCTCATGTTGTCCGTTCAGCCACCTTTCTTTTAGAGTCAAACAAATGATTGGATTCTTTGAGCATTTTGTAGTCTTTTCAGAGTCAACCAAGTCATTGAACATTTTGTAACGTGTATTTTGCAGCCCCTCCCGCCCCCCCGCAGGCAGCGCCACGCGCGGCTTTTCCGCAGCATGGCCGCGGCGATGCTTCCGGCGGCGGCAGGGGCCAACTGCCAGGCGGCGATGCTGCCGGTTGAGCCCCAGCTCGCACCGGAAGAAACAGAAGACCGATAATGAATTATGTAATAAGCAGGTAAGAATAAGACATGGTAATAACAAAGAAAGGCAACACACTAGTGATGATGATGATGATGATGATGATGATGATGATGATGATGATGATGATAATAATCATAATGAGTAGGCGGTTGATACACAAAAAGGCATAACACGCTCTCCTCCAAGAGAGAGTGGGATACTTCCAAGCAGGATATATTTTGGCATGGACTGTCTAGTTGTGGCTGTCTGGCTATGAAAAAGGGTGTCTGGTGGACAGAAATCACAGCCTGAATGATGTCCATCAAAGGGTCGTCAATTAAAATTCATTCCCTGTCGATCTTTGGCAGTTAGGTGCCACTTGGAAAGAAAGTGACTTTGGCAAAGTACTGTGGCCAGTGAACGACAGGAACCCGCTCCCCCAACTATGAGCGGATTAGCATGGTCCAGATGGATCTGAACAGCCTCGCTCACTGGTGAGCGACTATGGCGGTTTGAGAGGTGAGAAGATCCGACCGGACCTTTTGGAGGACGTCATTTAGGTCAAAATTTATGACCACCAACCCTCCGTCAACAGATTAGGCCATTAAAAGGGAGTGCAACCAGCTAACAAGGAATTTGCACCAGTAACAAAGAATTTACGCCATCAAGGAGTTGGAGCCATCGCACGAATTTTAAGCCATGAACATGGAGTTTGTCTCATATGTCCCACTCACCTTTGAGTATTTTCTCATTACTCCGCTTTGTCAACACATCGATCGATCACGCTCGGATCGCCAGGAAATGGCCAACACAGCCGGGCCCTTCGGGGGGGGGGGGCGGGCGGGAGATGACCGCTGTTTGATCTCCCACGGCCCAACCCCTGAAACATGGCTGGCTTACAGAAAGAACGGAAAGGACGGGCTGGTCGCTTTCCGGCAGCGGGTTCGCTTGTGGAGGCCACGTGTCTTTTGCACCGGGACCCCGGTCGGAAGCCTCGAGGCCTGGGCCTTCGGAACTGCGGACTTCCACGACGATGCGCTGCCGGGGGCCAAAGCGAAGCTGATGCGAGCGAAGCGCTTGGCGCTTTTCCGGGGAGGTGGATTTGGGTTCGGCGTCTTGGGGTCAAAGTCAGATTTGGGGTTCCGTACCACAGAAGGGGGGGGTTCGGCTTTGTGGGGTTGTCGAAGTCAGCATTATTGGGGTGCTTCCCTGTCACTGAACGGGGTGACTTCGACAGTGGTAAATTGTGGGGCCAGTTTCCTAGATCGGCATTTGGGCTTGTCGGAGACATCTTTGCCCTGCAGGGGTTTCACAGACAGGAACTGGAGTACCTGGAACCGGTAGCTGTCAGTTTGTCAATATGCCTTGAGAACGACGAACAAAAGATGTAAATCCTAGCTTCAGGGTGAACGTTGCCCAGTCACCACGTAGCTTGGGTCCAGGATTTCGCAGCTTGGTGACTCTGGTTTGTTCCCCCTTAAAAGAATGGGATGCCTATTCTTGCTGATTCTCAGGAATGAGGGAATGCCCCCAATCATCATTTCGTTTCTTTGGATCCGTTCAATGCCCAACACTCCTGTTGATTTCCATCAAACCAGCAAGAAAGGTGGTCATGGGAATCAACCTGAGAAGCACAGAAAGGAACTGGCAGCCATTTTCCACCCGCTGAACCCTGGTATGCGAATTGGATTCGCCGAGGTTTCATGAGCTTGCGGAGCAGGCGATGCATCGCCTCGAGGAATTCAAGCCGCAGGAGAGACCGGCGTCTTTTGGAGATCCTGTGAGAAGCGAAGGACAACAGAAGATGGGCGCTCTTCCAAGAAATGGGGGTGCACAACGAAAAAGAAGATGTCTGCTTTCTTTGCAAGGCCATGGGAAAACCCATCGGTTTCCCTCCCGAACTGTAAAACCTTCTTGGGTGAGATTTAGTTTCCCTGTTGCAACTGAAGGTTACGGGTGAAGGGGCGGGTGGGGCTCCGGGCGCCTTCCGCCTTGGGGCCGAAAGCCAAATTCTAAGGGCGTAAAAAACTCCCAGGGCCCTTTGCTTGTAGGTTCCGTGTGATCCGCTCTTGGAAATTAGCCATCATCCTGCCTGCAAGATGGTTGATTCAGGGTGCGCTGCATTCCCGAAAAGTCTGATTGGAGCCGGCCGACTGGGAATTCCATCGGAAATCGCAAGCAACCAATGCGGACTTACACCCTATGCAGAAATCCTTATCCAGGCTCGGAAGGAAGAGAAGGAAAGCCGATGGGGACACCGGATCCTCGAGTCCGATCCCCGAGAAGCATCTTCGGGACCTCCGGCAGTTTCCATGAGACACCTCGCCGATTCCGCGCTCGGATCGATGAGTCGTGGGAAGGCAAACCTTCGGGGGGCCTCGGCTGAGGGCCGGCAGCATCACCGCACGACGACAACGCAGTTGGGACGTTCAGATCAGGTGTACCGTATGGAATGCCAAAGGCGAGCACATATGGGTGCGCCTCGTTTTGGGTCAACCCCTTTGGTTTTAGAGGGACACCCAACTGAAACCAAACATTTTGCGGGGCTCCCTAATTTTGAGAGCCCGGTTTTGGGCACAGGAGATCTCCAATATGCTCTGGGGATTTGCAACCAACAGCTTCTTCCACGAGGCGCCGAATTTGGGACCTGGGACTCGGAGGAGTTGAGACTAGAGGATTTTGGAGGAGAGAGATCTTTCTTTTTTTTCTTCTTTTTTTCTCCCCGCTTTCTCTCTCTCTCTCTCTACACTGTATGTAATATGATACTATATAATTGGCATTTTCAAGTGTACATATTATGTATATACATACTTTAGAGCCTCCGGCTCAGTCCGCCGACATTGTCCTCTCCCTTTTCTCCTTCTTCCTCTCTCCCTTGTCTCCCTGGTGTGTTCTGTCGTCCTCTCTCCCTCCCTCCGCTCCCCATCCTCCCCATCCCCCCAAGCCACTCTCTCCCCAATCTCCCTCTCTCGTATGTATGTATGTATGTATGTATGTATGTATGTATGTATGTATGTATGTATGTATGTATGTATGTATGTATGTATGTATGTATGTATGTATGTATGTATGTATGTATGTATGTATGTATGTATGTATGTATGTATGTATGTATGTATGTATGTATGTATGTATGTATGTATGTATGTATGTATGTATGTATGTATGTATGTATGTATGTATGTATGTATGTATGTATGTATGTATGTATGTATGTATGTATGTATGTATGTATGTATGTATGTATGTATGTATGTATGTATGTATGTATGTATGTATGTATGTATGTATGTATGTATGTATGTATGTATGTATGTATGTATGTATGTATGTATGTATGTATGTATGTATGTATGTATGTATGTATGTATGTATGTATGTATGTATGTATGTATGTATGTATGTATGTATGTATGTATGTATGTATGTATGTATGTATGTATGTATGTATGTATGTATGTATGTATGTATGTATGTATGTATGTATGTATGTATGTATGTATGTATGTATGTATGTATGTATGTATGTATGTATGTATGTATGTATGTATGTATGTATGTATGTATGTATGTATGTATGTATGTATGTATGTATGTATGTATGTATGTATGTATGTATGTATGTATGTATGTATGTATGTATGTATGTATGTATGTATGTATGTAATGTATGTATATGTATGTAATGTATGTATGTATGTATGTATGTATGTATGTATGTATGTATGTATGTATGTATGTATGTATGTATGTATGTATGTATGTATGTATGTATGTATGTATGTATGTATGTATGTATGTATGTATGTATGTATGTATGTATGTATGTATGTATGTATGTATGTATGTATGTATGTATGTATGTATGTATGTATGTATGTATGTATGTAATGTAATGTAATGTAATGTAATGTAATGTAATGTAATGTAATGTATGTATGTATGTATGTATGTAATGTATGTATGTATGTATGTATGTATGTATGTATGTATGTATGTATGTATGTATGTATGTATGTATGTATGTATGTATGTATGTATGTATGTATGTATGTATGTATGTATGTATGTATGTATGTATGTATGTATGTATGTATGTATGTATGTATGTATGTATGTATGTATGTATGTATGTATGTATGTATGTAATGTATGTATGTATGTATGTATGTATGTATGTATGTATGTATGTATGTATGTATGTATGTATGTATGTATGTATGTATGTATGTATGTATGTATGTATGTATGTATGTATGTATGTATGTATGTATGTATGTATGTATGTATGTATGTATGTATGTATGTATGTATGTATGTATGTATGTATGTATGTATGTATGTATGTATGTATGTATGTAATGTATGTATGTATGTATGTATGTATGTATGTATGTATGTATGTATGTATGTATGTATGTATGTATGTATGTATGTATGTATGTATGTATGTATGTATGTATGTATGTATGTATGTATGTATGTATGTATGTATGTATGTATGTATGTATGTATGTATGTATGTATGTATGTATGTATGTATGTATGTATGTATGTATGTATGTATGTATGTATGTATGTATGTATGTATGTATGTATGTATGTATGTATGTATGTATGTATGTATGTATGTATGTAATGTATGTATGTATGTATGTATGTATGTATGTATGTATGTATGTATGTATGTATGTATGTATGTATGTATGTATGTATGTATGTATGTATGTATGTATGTATGTATGTAATGTATGTATGTATGTATGTATGTATGTATGTATGTATGTATGTATGTATGTATGTATGTATGTATGTATGTATGTATGTATGTATGTATGTATGTATGTATGTATGTATGTATGTATGTATGTATGTATGTATGTATGTATGTATGTATGTATGTATGTATGTATGTATGTATGTATGTATGTATGTATGTATGTATGTATGTATGTATGTATGTACTGTATGTATGTATGTATGTATGTATGTATGTATGTATGTATGTATGTATGTATGTATGTATGTATGTATGTATGTATGTATGTATGTATGTATGTATGTATGTATGTATGTATGTATGTATGTATGTATGTATGTATGTATGTATGTATGTATGTATGTATGTATGTATGTATGTATGTATGTATGTATGTATGTATGTATGTATGTATGTATGTATGTATGTATGTATGTATGTATGTATGTATGTATGTATGTATGTATGTATGTATGTATGTATGTATGTAATGTATGTATGTATGTATGTATGTATGTATGTATGTATGTATGTATGTATGTATGTAATGTATGTATGTATGTATGTATGTATGTATGTATGTATGTATGTATGTATGTATGTATGTATGTATGTATGTATGTATGTATGTATGTATGTATGTATGTATGTATGTATGTATGTATGTATGTATGTATGTATGTATGTATGTATGTATGTATGTATGTATGTATGTATGTATGTATGTATGTATGTATGTATGTATGTATGTATGTATGTATGTATGTATGTATGTATGTATGTATGTATGTATGTATGTATGTATGTATGTATGTATGTATGTATGTATGTATGTATGTATATGTATGTATGTATGTATGTATGTATGTATGTATGTATGTATGTATGTATGTATGTAATGTATGTATGTATGTATGTATGTATGTATGTATGTATGTATGTATGTATGTATGGTAATGTATGTATGTAATGTATGTATGTAAAGTATGTATGTATGTATGTATGTATGTATGTATGTATGTATGTATGTATGTATGTATGTATGTATGTATGTATGTATGTAATGTAATGTAATGTAATGTAATGTAATGTAATGTAATGTAATGTAATGTAATGTAATGTAATGTAATGTAATGTAATGTAATGTGTAATGTAATGTAATGTAATGTAATGTAATGTAATGTAATGTAATGTAATGTAATGTAATGTAATGTAATGTAATGTAATGTAATGTAATGTATGTATGTATGTATGTATGTATGTAATGTATGTATGTATGTATGTATGTATGTATGTATGTATGTATGTATGTATGTATGTATGTATGTATGTATGTAAATGTATGTAATGTAATGTAATGTAATGTAATGTATGTATGTAATGTATGTATGTATGTATGTATGTATGTATGTATGTAATGTAATGTATGTATGCATGCATGTATGTATGTATGTAATGTAATGTAATGTAATGTAATGTAATGTAATGTAATGTAATGTAATGTAATGTAATGTATGTATGGTAGGTAGGTAGGTAGGTAGGTAGGTATGCATGCCTCCATGAATGTATGTATGTAATGCATGTATGCATGTATGTATGTAATGTATGTAATGTATGTATGTATGTATGTAATGTAATGTAATGTAAAGTAATGTAATGTAATGTAATGTACTGTATGTATGTATGTATGTATGTATGTATGTATGTAATGTAATGTATGCATGTATGTCTGTATGTCTGTCTGTATGTATGTCTGTATGTATGTATGTATGTATCCTTGCACTTCCCCTTGTGCTCCCCAGTATTTCCCGCAAAAAAACACGGTTTTTCCAGCGTTTTCGCAAAGATGATGTCCAAAAACACAGAGTTTTTCCAGATTTGCGGCAAAAGGATGCAGGAAGCCCAAGCCAGCAAAAAAGCCGGCAGGGGGAATCGAGCCTGGGACCCCTGTTTTGCGACACCGGGTCCCCGAAGACTACGTTTAGTGGAACGTCATCAAATTGCCGCGCGGTCCTTGGGGGGGGGGGGATCAGACGTCGGGTGGGGGGGGGGTTAGGGGGGGGTTATCCTCTATCCTCTCTTAGGTGTCCGACACGCCGTGCAATGTCGGCGGATATATATATATATATATATATATATGTATATATATATATATGCATATTCGTGATATAGAATCTTCAACCGCGCCCCTGCCTGGTGCCCCCGTTTCGCTTTGTTTGAGCAGACATGCTGCAGTGATCGTGGTAGATTGTTTTTGGAGGACATGGTGGCACTCTGGATCCATGAATTCTGAATGCCCCACCTGAAATGGCTGTCAAAACCAATGGTACCATTTTGGAGTGCTGGTGCACCACCCATTTTAGTCTATTTTAGTTGGGATTGGGAAGTTCACTGGGGGTACGATCTGGATTTTGACCCATGGCCAAATCTAAATACCGTATGTACTAAGGTTCTCATTGGACTTGGTTGTGTTTGATTGATGCATCCTTTTTAGCGTATCTCATCCTTTCAGCTGTGCCATGCTCGCGAGGATTGGACATGTTGACGTGTACATTTACCATGCGCCAACATCTACTCAATTCGAGAGCGGAGGCCTTCTACGCGCGAGCGAGCCAAGTGGCGCAGAAGATGGACAGCGGGGCGGGAGGGTGCCAACGTGTAGACCCTACTTTGCCTCCAAGACCAAAAGAGGGGGTTTGCCATTCCTTGGATTTGCAGCCTCCAACCCTTGCGGAAGGAGGGTTGTGGTTGGGCTTTGGGGCAGTGTTGGGTGACCTCGGGGATCCAACTCAGATCGAAAACCAGTAGTGCTCCAATCGGATGAAGCAAACTCTTCGAGATCCCGGCAGGCCAACGTGCTAGTAGAGGGAAAGAAGGAACGCCAAAACCTGGAGCAAAGGGTCAGACATGGAACCTCAAAAGTGGTTGGGGGACGGGAATCACCGAATTCTGATGTGCATGCACCCTTTGGGGTCCCGCAGGAAATTTCGGACCCGTTTCGCCAAACATACCAGTTGCCACATTTATGTACAAATCGTGCAAGAATAAACTCAGGTCTAGATTCGAGTTTCGAGTACCTAGGCTTTCTTGGATGATATCTGGCAAACAGGCATCACCGTGTAGAACTTGCAGGTCACTTTTGAGGCTGTCTGACCTGGCCTGGCAAACTAGCTTTTGTCCAAAAAACATAAAAAGTGGTGCTCTTGGAACCATAACTTATCACAAAAGAACATGATTTCCTGGCTTGTTTGTTTTTGTCCATTGTCTGTTGGTTTGTTGATTTGTGCGCTCTTTTATAGCTCTAAACCGGGGATCTCTTTCTGATCTTTATTTGGTTGCAAGATTCAATTATGGTCGCTGGGCTCCAGCAGCTTGTTTGGTTGGGGGCATCATGTTTGGCTTTTGGAGAAATGAAATGCAAATGCAAGGCGCCCTAGTTTGGCCTCTTTCACCCGGGCGCGCAGTGGCAGGACCTGCAGTCTCAGCACTTGGCCAACATTCTCTGGGCGTTCGCTCGTGTGAGGCGCCGCTTGTTGGGCCGGAACCGGACTGTAAACCGACACCGTCAGTTAGCCCAGACCTTGAGGTCCGCATTGAGGACTCGGACTTCGGGAAATCCCATGTAGCCCCTGTCCTCACATATTGTCCGTGGCTAGGTGGAGCCCTCGCGGAACCCTCCTTGCGTCCCGGAACCCTGGCGCGGCACCCTACCTCGAGCCGCCCCAGACCACCCCGAAGCCTATCTGGGCTGAGACCCCAGCGTTGGGGAAAAAGCGTCAAAAACCATCTCTTTGCGGATTCCAGTTAAGAAGGGTTATAAAACTTCCCTTTCAAGGAAACCAAGCTCGGTTTCCCCTATTTCGAAGGGCGCTGGTCAGGCCAAAGCACCCGCTGACGCTGCAGACGGTGCTCAGTCTGTTGCCGCTGTGTACGCAGCAGCTGCAGACCTTCAAGCCTCAGGCCGCCCTGATTTCAGGGAACCGCTGAATGCGTTTTGGCCGACGGTGTGACGGGCGCGTGTTTCAAAGGTCAGCAATGCTGGTTCGAACATCAAAAGGCGAGTATTTACAGGTGAGTAGAATGTAACAGTGTACGGCTTGTTGAGTTTAGTGAAAACGATACACTGTCTTGAAGGTGAATCATGGCCGTGCCTAATCCATAAACAGGGAGGCGATGAACTCGTTGGTAGCCAGGGTTCGAAGCCCGGGCTGAAGTGACACCACCCAAGGCCAGGTTGCTGAGCGCTGAACCCTGACACGGCTTGGCCACGTGGCTGGGCTAACATGTTCCTATCTTGGATGCCCTTTTTGGGTGTCCTTTTTTGTAAAGGAACCACAGCATGTTTCCAGGATCCCCAATTTTTCCCCAACAGCTGAAAGCTTTGGGGTCTCAGCCCAGATAGACTCCGGGTGGTCCGGGGTGGTCCGGGGCGGCCCTGAGGTAAGGTTCCACGAGGTTCCACGAGGTTCCACGAGGTTCCGGGTTCCACGAGGTTCTGCGGGTGGTGCGAGCACTAGAAAGAGCACCGCATGCTGCTGGGGATATCACCTGAGCTTATGAGAAAAGCTAACTTGTGGAATGGCTTGCCAAGTAAACGAACGGAGAGAGTCTAAGCACACAGCTGAGTGGTTGTGAGAAAACCAGCTGATATTCAGAGCACATCCTTGTATATCAGGTGGTTTTGGGATGTGTCCTCCAAGAAGCCCTGTTGGGCATGGTTGTGGACAATAGGGTTTTAGGTGGCCACTTTCTGTGATCCCAAAGGCATCCATTTCAAAGTGATAAGGTCGTCACGGGAATGATCCTATTGAATTGGTATCACAGAAATGGTGTTTTTCCACAATGAAAGTCTTTGCTTTTCATGTCGCTTTTGTGTTTCTACTGTGCTGGGTTACTTTTCGATATCAGCGCTGTGTTTTATGTTTGGTTGTTGTATCCCCTGCTTGGTTGTTGTATCCCCTGTTTGGTTTTTGTATCCCCTTTTCGGCTTTGGTTTTTGTATCGTTGTTTCTGTTTGCTTGCTTTGTTCTCTCCTTTGGACGGGGAGCTCAAAAAGTCTCCTTCCTGGCCAGGAAGTTTCTTCAACTCTGCTGGCGACAGCCAAGGCGGGGATGTGTGGGTGTGTTTTCTTTCAAGGGGGATGGTTTTCAAGGCAGACCAACAGGAAGTCACGCATTTCAGCGGAAAGGGGGGGTCCCCTATTTTGACAGACACATAAATCCGACCTCGATGCCAATTTTGCTGACGAGCTTCCCTCGAGGTTGATGCTTGAAAGACATGTAAGGAGCCGCGGTCAAGGAGAAACATGAGGCAAGCGCGCCGGACAGAAGCCAAAGAAACAAGAGAAACAAGAAGAATTCAGGCGTTTGCTTTCTTGCAAATAAGTCTTTCTGACTTTTTTGGGTCGGTGAAACAAATGCGTTCCTCTCACCCCTGCACGTTCCAAGGCGTGCATACCTACAACCTTTGTTCCCCCTGTCTCATGCCTTGGCTGTGAACCCGCCTCGTAAGGCGGTGGGCAATGCTGATGACATGGCCCCCATGTCGGCCACGCTGGACAACTTCCGCCAGGAGGCAAGAATGGCGGCGCTGGGCGCGTGCGGGGCGCGGCGCGTCCGACACGTGGTTTCTGGGGTGTTGCCTTTGTTCGGACCATTTGATGGGTCTTTGCTTAGCTGCAACCAGGCTTTCACTTTTAAGGGGTAAGCAAAAACTCACTTCCCCCCTGTTTCTGGTTGCCTGAGAGTCTTAAAGGCCCGATCCGACTTCCTAACCTTGGGCTTGAAAGTTCCGAGCCTATTGTCCCAAGAGTGCTTAACGCTCAGGACAATTCAAAGTGACTTCTCTTTGGGACGCTTGCCAAGAAGAAGTGAAGGCCCCATGTCTTTTGAGGGCAAACTCAAAGGAAAGCAACTGATTTAGGGCTGTCTGTAATCTGCAATGGAAAGCGTGTTGCCCAATCATTTGACAATTGGACGATGGGGAGATGAACCCAGACACCACTGGAATTGTGGCCAGCTTTTTTGGGGTCACAAGGACCTGCTAAGTAAAGGGAACGAGTTGATTCATGAGAACCGGAAAGCTTCTCCGGGACGCGGTGTCAACCTTACGCCTGGAATAATCCGCTGGCTCTCCACCGGTTTAGCCTTTTGGTCCCGAAACTCGCCACGCGTTTAGGTGTTTTGAGAGGGTCAGAAGAGCTTCCCAGTATATCGGCGGATGCCTTCTGGGTTGTCTTATAGGGAAACTGAAACACACTGGCTTCGGCGTTCTTTTGCCTTCCCTGAAACAGCACCTAAACGCCTCCTCCTCGTTTGCGTAGCTACACCAGAGGTGAGGCATGTTTCTTTGGAGGTCGTCTCTATATATGGGTCTACCTTTTGGGGTTTGTTTTCATGTTTGTTTGTCTTTTTCTGGGGTTGGGGGCCCTTCGCGACCCGTCCCCTTGCGCGGCTCGGCCAGCGTGGCGTGCGTCAGGTCTTAGACTTCTTCCACGCGTGTCTGCCGATGCCCCAGATGGAGAAAAGTGAGGAGTCAACGCTTCAGTGGAACAACCTTGCTATGCCGGGTGTGTTGCGCCCCGAAGTTCTCGGGCGTCTCTTGGGTCCTCCCAGAACCAATCCAATAAAGATAGAAATGGGGTGGGGACGAAAGACGAATTCGTTTCAGTGGAAGCTCAGTCGAGTCCGTGCAAACTCCACCTGGACACCACTCTTCCAGAGATGGGGGATAGTCTTGAGAATGGAAGGCAGCCTTGACTTACCAACCACTGTTCCGAAGACCTTTGCAGTTACATGGAGCAAAAACATCCCCAACTGTCCACTGTTGCAGAATTTGGGTTGGGTGGAGACAGCGCAAATGTTCCAATTCAGAACAAGCCTTGGGCATTCGCCAAACCCAAGTCTCACAACTGGGATGTTTGAACCGGCCCATAGGCCTAGGGTGGAATTTTGTCCGGAACCTTCCTGAAAGCTGCTCTGAACCGCACATCCCAGAGCTTAATTGGGCAAAAGCTTGCAGCTAGGGAAAACGACCAACATGAAGTATGGCCACCTGAGGACCCACGTAGAAAGACTCGTGGGGTTTCTACCTAGAGTGCTCTGTGGGAAACATACGGGGGTTACCGCAAAAGGTAGGCCACACTTTGGCAGCTCCCAGCCAAACTCTGAGAGAGCGTGAAATAGCGCAGGATTCACGAAATGGCCAACTAGAAGTTGAGCTGAGCGGCACATTTGGGGGGAACCCCGAAGCTACGTCAGCCCGGCAAGGCGAGCTGCAACGACTGGACCCCTTGCACCAACGGATTTTTTTTTCTTCTGGGGATTCTCTTGACACAGGTACCTCCGAGTCAAGGACAGCCACAAGAACCAGGCTGTTTTTTGTTGAATCTCCAGATTTCCGAACCCTCCCATGCGGAGAGCCCCACTGACTCAGCAACAAGTGTTGCTTGAATCAAACATATGTGCAATTCACAAAACACTTAAAGCAAAAGAGACCCTCCAGCAACAAGAGTGCCTTTTGTTCTTGAATGACACCTCAGCCGGACAGGGTGGGTGAAGAATTGAACCACTCCATGGGTTGGATCCAACCGGATTCTCACGGGACCAACGCGGGCAAATCGATCGACGGGTGAAACCGGGTAGCTCCCGGAGCTGGCGTAGGCCCTGGGTGGTGGCGCGACTGCGGGACTTCTCGGAGCAGTCTCTGGCAAACTCCGTGGCTCGCCGAAGGATTTGGGGTAGCCTTGGACTGGGTTTGCCCCCGAAATTCCGAAATGGGCTTCAGACTTCGGTTTCATTTTGGTTTCCCTCTCAAAGCCTCCACAAAAGGGTACCCCCAAAAAAGAGACCCCCCCCCCATTTCTTCAACTCGCTGGAAGCGAATCGACCGCGAGTCTGCCGTTTGGATTCCTTTGGCTTGCCTTTGATTTCTTCAACTCGGTTTCCCTGATTTGGTTTACCTTAGTCAAGGTTCCCACAGGTGAAGCGATTTCTAGGCCGGGCAAGTGAGTCAAAGATCCACTTCACGGGAGCCCCGACTCATAGGGGTCCTGGTTGCTTTTGATCGGGTCCCTTTTAATTCGGACCACTTTGGGGAACACCGGAACACTCCCCCAATCAATAGGAAGGGGTCTCCCAAAGGGTACCCAGGGTACAACTTGCCCGAAGAACTTTCCCGCAGGTTTTTCCGGATCTCTCCGAAGTTGTTTGGAAGATCAGTTTCCCATTGCCAGGCTTTCTTCCTGGTTCTCGAACTGTTTGTGCTTCAACTGTGTGAAAATCTTTAGTATAGGCTTTTGTCAAATGTCACCTTTTGGCCCTTTTGCCCTTTAGGGGGTCCACTCGCCTGGCCAAGTGCAGTGTCAGGTTCATCCAGGGCCCAAGAAATTGGTGCAAAGTGTGTAAGGATTCAGCTCTTAATATTAACCAAGTGTTTGTGTATCAATAAGTGCATTTCCTTTGCCTTAGCGAACCTTTTGGCCAAATGGACGTATCATGTTTCTTTTTGTCTATCATTATGCTCCTCCTTCTGCGCCTGAAGTCTAGGTCCTCTAAGGGGTCCGGGGAGGGAGGGCCTTTAATAAAGCAGGTTCCCCAATTTGCCTTCTTTGCAGAATTTGTTAATGTTGAAACGCATGTGGAAACATGAACTGTGTTGGCAATGCTTGACCATAATGGCGCATGCCATTTTGGCTCAAGCTTTGCCCTTGGGTTCTTTGAACCCAACTTGTGTGAACAATTTGTGTTTGAACTCTTCCGAACTAACCCGAACCAGCAATGGCTTCCTCGGCAACCTCGGCAACTTCCTTCGAGCTGATTGAGGACCAGACGCTCACCGCGGAGGAGGTGGAAATGGCCAGCCAGGAGGCCCAGGAAATCCGCACACGCGAGGCGGCAGTGGCGGCCGGCTTGGTGTTGGACGAGCCCGAGGCCCCCCCGTCGGCTTCGGCTACCGACGTGATGAACGACCTCTCCAGTGCACTGGAGCGTCTCCGTGTGGCTTTCTCCACACCGACTTCCGGCTTGGGTGCCCCTGGCCCCGCCGAGGAGGAGGACAAGGACATGGAAGACGCCACGGAGCGGGCTACTCCACCAACGAAGAGGCTGAAGGGTTTCGTGGCGGCTTCCCAGAAGACCACGGCTCAGGCGAACAAACCGGTCTCCCTTGTGCCGGTGGAGGGCCGTCCCGGCTACTTCAAGTTAGTGGACCTCCCAGACCTCTTCCCGGTCCTTCCGGCATCGGCGGCCACGTTGCTGAGGGACGTCACGGTGGAGGAGGCGGTCTCCCTGTTCCACAAGTTTGTCGGGAAGAATCTCACGGAGGAGGACTTGGTGATTCGCATCCTGGAGGCCTATGTTCCGATGAAGATCCAGATCCGGCAGGAGGAGGTCTGGGCCTCACAGTTCCAGAGGAACAAGGCGTGCATTGGCACCCAGCGGATGCACAGACTCGATGCCGGCCACTCAGACTACAAATTCATGTGCAAGGCATGCGGCACGGGGTGGCCGGAGGCAGCCCAATGCTGGGTCTGCCCGGGCAAGGATTTCAGGCACCCTCGGCTACCTACGAGGCGGACGGCGTCACTTACAACCTGCTCATTGTGGAGGGCAAGCCGACCTGGATCCAGCAGCGGGAAGGGGGAAGCCTGGGTGCCGCTGGCCCCGGTGGTACCCGGGCACAGGCAGACCGCAACCTGGTGGACGGCACGGTCCTGGGAAGAGCTCCCCCGAAAACGGACACGGCAGAGGAGATTACCATGGCAGACGTGGTCCCGCTTAACAGGCGGGTGGACATCCGGCAGGAGATCCTGTCCATGGAGGCGGACGACGAGGCGTTGAAGGTCCGGGAGCGCCAGGAGGTCAAGGTCAAAGTGCAGCGGTCCCTGAAGGAGGCGGAGGCTCAGAGCTTCCAGCTCTACCACCCCCAGGTGGACCAGGCGATCCGGAAGAAGGAGGAGCTGCATAAGGCCTTGAGGGAGCACCGGGAACCGACCCCGGAGGAGTCCTCGGCCAGGCGGCGGCACAAGGAGTTGGTCATGGATGAGATGCTGGACAATGAGATGGCTATCCTGGCGCCTCTCCAGGAGGGCATGCAGGCCCTGCCGTCAGAGGAGGTGGCCAACGAGGGAGCCCGGGCCCTCAGGAAGGTCAACCTGGAGCGATTCAAGGCCAAGCTGCGAGACCAGTACCTGGAGGGGAAGGGCGTCGACGCCAGCCAGGCACTGGCTGAGGCGATGGGCTCCATCCAGGAGGCTCAGGAGGCGAACAAGCGCACCCAGGACACCAACCGATGCTTAACCACACCCTCAAGCCCTTGGAAGTGTCGGCGTGGCCAGATGATCTCAGGCAGGCGCTGGAGAGGGGGCTGTTCTGCCCTCTGGAGCTGGATGACCCCGAGGACATCCCCAACGTGGGAGACATCAAGGAGAAGTATGTCCCCTACATCAGGAGGCTCAGAGAGGCGCAGAACCCATGGAACCAGGAGGCGCTGCTGGAGGAGATGCCCGATCTGGCGACACCGGCCCCCCCCAATATTGCCACTGGCCCCGGGGGGGACCAGTCAATGCCACAGCAGGACCTGGACTCGGAGGAGGGAAAGCTGTCCCTGCTCCTCTGGGCGATTTGGGGGGATCTGGAAGAAGCACTCAAGCGGTGAGATCCCCAAGGGCGCGGACCAGCAATTCAAGCTCACTCCGGAGGAGCTTTTGGCCCTGGAGCGCAGGACCCACCCACTCACGTGCGAACAGGACCACATCGATCCTGTCATCTACTCGGCCTTGGAGATCCGAGCGCAGGTGAACCGGGGCGAGCGCCCGGCGCCGGAGCAGGTGGTGGGGATCTTCTGGGCGAAGGGCGATGGAGTGTTTTGGACAAGGCAGACGAGGACGTGGGACCTGCCGAGCTTGACGGGGGTGTACGCCCACCGGTTCACCTTCAAATACATCTACTCGGCCTGGACCACCTTCCCGCTGGTCGTGAAGACGCAGCGCCGGGGCCGCAATGCGGAGGGCTCGGCCTCGGACAAGTGGATGGGCAACATCCTCCAGATGAGGAAGGAGGCGGTCCCCTTCCTGGAGAGCCTGGGAATCCCCAAGCCGCGCACCAAGGCGGAATGGAGCTACATCTTCAAGGAGATGGGGACGTTTCTGGCGGCCAAGAATTTCATCGTTAACTGCCCGTTGCCAGTGATGGAGATCCCAGTGGCCCCCGTTCACGACAGCAAGGAGGCGCTGCGTTTCAGGGCGACGAGCGTATCACCCTTCCGCTGTCATCGTTGAGGGCTTTCGACTCGGTGTACACCAAGCTGGTGTCGGGCCTGAGTAAGTCCTCCATGGTGGAGATCAAGGTCAACTGGCGTTGCAACGTGGTCCATGACTCCGGTCCCGCAGGAGGCGGCGGGGTGCCCTGTACGACCGGCTGGGCTACTCCCAGGACCTTATCAGGCAGCTGGGTTGCTCCCCCCCCTTGGGTGCCTCTGGCCCCGGGGGAGGAGCGGCCAAGGAATCGGACCCCAAACCCAAGATTCTGGGGGAGTGGTGTCCGCTCCGCACGCCGGACCAGGGCACCAGGCGGTACCCTCCTATCACCACGTCCACGGTCACGGCGGTCGCGGGCCGGAAGTACATCAACAAGCACTTCGCGAAGGAGACGAAGCACGTGTTTTGGGCCTCCGTGGAGTGCGGCCTGGTCCTGCCCAGCATCAGCGCCTGGGAAGTGGTGGGCAAGGAGAAATTCAAGACCACCGGGGGCTACATGTGCAGGTTCTGCAAGGGCTTCTGGAGGGCGAGCCGCGGGGGGACCAGGCTGCTCCAGATCACGGGGTGGCACAAGGACAAGGCCACATGCCTGCAGCTGGTGATGGACGAGCCCCCGGAGCAACTATATAATCAGTGGATCCGGGACAGGATGGAGTTCTACAAGCGGGTGGAGCCGACGGAGCCTCCCAGGGACGAGCGGCTGGTCCTTGGAGATGCGAGCACCCCGCGCATGCGCTTCAGCTCCTCGAATGGCCTGGGGGATGTCTCCACTGCCTTGTGGTCGGTCATCTTGAGCAACCCGGAGAAGTCAGGGCTCGGTGGCTAAGGAGGCGATCTTGAAGGGTGAGAGCCGCTAGGTCGTGTCTCACAGCCTTTTTGGATGGGGAGTCGTGAGATCTCTTCCCACCGGGACTTGGGTGCCTCTGGCCCCGTCTCGGGTGGGGGGAGGAGTAAGGGTGCCTCCCTTTTGGGTTCATCTTTCGCCTGGGTTTCCCCCTGTTCAACGCACCACGACTGCCGGTTTGCCTCGAACTGGAGGCTGCACGCTTTGGCTGCCCCAAGGACGGGCCATATCGGCCACAGTTTGGAGAAAGTGGCTGCGGCTGACTCTGGGTTCCCTGAGGTCCCCTTTAGGGTTTTGGGGAATCCCCCGCCGGGTTGGTCTTCCCCCCTCCGTGGTCCTTTTTTGGGGATTTCCGGGGGGTTTGACTTTCGGGTCCTGTTGGGCTGCATGGCCTGCCTGCCCCTTTTGCACTCGGCATCCTGTGGGGTTGGAACATGCGTGCAGTGTGCCGTGGTGGGTCCCGGCCGTTCGATAGGAGGCTCGAACCCCCCCCGTTTTCATCATGGCTAGGGTCTCGACAAAGTTTCTTTTGCGCCCGCCTTACACTCGCCTTTGGGACCGCATTCCAAGGGTCCTGTGGGACACGTTGGCGGATGAGTCTTCTCCCCGAGACAGACG